CTTCCTTCCTTCTCCAAACACTGCTAATTTAAAATGAGTTTTTATAGAAATATTAATACAGCAGCCAGTAATTGAACAGTGAGGGAATACTGGATTGCCAGTGAGAGGTACAGTAATACACTCTTTAACAGTGGTACAGTTGCTTCAGTGTTGCTCCATTCTACATGTGTAATGCCAGTGATGTCAAAGGAGTTGCTGCTGATTTCCAGCATTCTAGCTTAAATTTCCCAACTAAAAAAAAACCTGAACCTGGCCCAGTACTCTACATTCTGTGCTGGCTTTTGCCCAGGACGGTAAGAGATGTTGGAAACTCAGTCATCTGTATTTACTCAAGAATTTCTTCATGTGTCTCTAAGGTGCAGCAGGGGCAGCAGAAGTGAAGCAGGTTCACCCCCAGCTGAGGTGTCTCAGTTCCCAGGCTGTGAAAGCCCTGCAGTCAGGCAGCTACAGCTCAACTGCTGGAACACTTGGTTTTCTGTACAAATGCACACTTAGTTGTTATGAAGGGGGGGAAAAACCCCGGTTGTGATGAGATTTATTTTGTATAAATAGCCCCGTGCAGTCATTGTTATGCTATTTGGAGATTATTTATTGCATTGTCTTTCAGATTTCAGTGCAGGTGAGGGCTGCAGTTCGCATGTGGGATGGGATGCAGGGTATTTGCTTCCTGTCATTTGTGTAGAGCTGTGGCTTATAAACTGCACATCTGATAGAAAGAAAAAGAGTATCAGGATGACAAGGTTCAAAGCCAACAATTGAGTAACATGAGCAAGGATGCACCTGCTCTTAAAACATGAACTTTGGCAAAGATTCATTTTAAATGGTCAGAATATTTCAGTAGAGCCATGTTCCCCCAGGACCTTCAAGCTGCTTTGCTAAAGACAATGAGGTTTTTTGGTGTAGAGGCAGATATTATCTTTAACAGCCACATTTAGTGGCAACACTAATTCAAGTGATGAAAAAGAGGAGAAACTAAAATTACATTTGCAGCTGCTTGTTCATATGTTTTCCCCCTGCCTTGTCAGGGATGGGTGCATGGCCCCTGTGCTGTAGTTGCAAGGTGAAGATGCTCGTGATGGTCAAGTGTTGGAATTCACTGTCCACGTCACCTCTTCATTTTTCACTGTGAGCACATTTTCTTGGAAACGAGATATCTTGCAAGGAGCTTTATACAACTGATCGCAAAAGTGTAAAGCAGTTTATTTATTTTAACACTAAAAATGCTAGGCTGATCTAGACGCCTGGCTCCGTGTTCCAAATCAGTCCCCATCACTGACGAGTTGAACAGAATTGCTTCACTGTCTCCGAAGAGCAACGTGACATTCCACTCACCTGCTGAGAAAATGGGTTTTCCAGGATTGTGCTGTCAGTTATTGCTCCCCCTGGACACGGGGCCCGGTTGCCTCATGGCTGCCTGTTTCTGTTCTCCCTTTCGTTTCCCTCAGGGGCAGGCACACTTTGCCTGCCTTGCTGTTTAGTAAGAAACCTCTTGCTATTTCTGAACCTTTGAGGAAGTATCTGCCATAGACATGAATTTTGAGAAGGGTCATGAGCAAACTCACTGCCTTGTATTTTGCATGTGTTGCTTTTGCTAAACAGAAGATGGGAAACAGCTGATTTTCCCTAATGAACTTAGGGCTGTAAGTTGAGTTCAACAGGACCCATTTGAAAAGCATTTGAGGAAAACCCAGTATCTTCAGTCTGTTTTGTGTGAGAACAAACTCACAGTTAGCAGATTCTTGCCTTAAATTATGCTTTTGTGGTTCAGAGGTGCTGCAAAGACACTCAGATCAATGAGATTTCGTTGCAGCAGTGGATTGTGAGGATCATGAATGGAAGAACAAAACACCTTCATGCAAAAAGGACCAGTACTTATTTCCTGAAATGAACTTTTTAACCTAAATTTCTTTCTAGATTTGTAATGTGTTTCTATTAGTATTTATTGGAAGAAACTTAGTCAACATGATGTGGTGCTGAAAGGAAGCATTTCACTCTTTTCATTCTGCTTTGTCGTAGATTTGCTTGAATCCTGCAAGGCACTTGTACTGTAAGACAAACTATAAACTGTGTTTATGCATGACATGAGAAGCATCAGCCGTGGCCTGCTGAGTTTGGAAGTAGCAGACCTTTAGGGCAGCGAGTCACAGTACACAAATAAATGTTATGTTGATGCAGCAGCAGAATTTTAAACAAAAACAAATCCTCAGCGGACTGTTTTCCTAACGCTGAGCACATTAACATGGAAGACGGGACCTTCACAACCTTTATCGGGGGAATGAAAATTTCTCAGCCTGGTTTCCTGGATTTCCCCTCCATTGTGTCCTGACCTGGTTTTGTTCTGGACCCATGGGCTCTGCCAGTCCTTCTCCCCTCCTGTGCTGTGCAAGCAAACAGCTCGGGCTGCTCCCAGACCTGGCCCAGCGTGAGCGCAGCAGAGCACTGGGAATGGCAGGGGGGACAGGGAGCAAAGATGGCATGTTTTCTGCCAGCTTCTTAGCCCTGGTTTTTGTAAAATCTTTAGCCTTATAGTCCTGAGCAGCGTCCAGCAGGCAGATAGAAGGAAGCAGAGCCTACTTTTGTTGCCTGTTTCAGCACTCCAGCAGTGTCTTGGTGATCTGCAGTTGGTGGTTGTTTCGGTAATCCCTGCTAAGTTTGGAAGAGGAGGAAACCACCAGTAGAGCCCCAGTAGAGAGCTCTGCTCTTGATTGTGATGCAGGGGTGATGGTGATCATCCTGCAGTGTCCTAGGAATGACTTGCAGAGTCCCCAAGTCCTAGGGATGTTTCTCAAGATCCCCCAAGAAAGCTGACCCCTGTGCTTCCACATATCCCTGCAGGCTCAGGAGTTCATTTTTACAGAGATAGAAAGTGCTGCAGATGAAAAGGGTTGTACTGATGAACTGGAAGTTCCTCATGAAAATGTCAAGGACTAGATCCCTTGAAATCATAAGTGTAGATTGGAGCACTCAGAAAGAGTGTTTGCCTCAGTAACTTTTTAGGTGGCCAGTAGAGCCTTTGCCCCTTCAACTGTTTCCTCTTTAATGACAATGTTTTGGAATAGAAGTAAGATGCAGCTACAGCAAGTCTTCTAATATTCACCACGACCACCTTCTCTCTTTTGGCATCACTTCTGTCATGTCCTGGACCAAATAACTCTCTGATTTTCCAGCTAAATCTATGGGTCTAATAAAAGATCATAGCACTCCCTTCCCCAAAAGAATTGCATGCTACTTGTGTAATGGGTCTTGGAGTCTGTGCCACCAGGTGATTAGAGAAATAGTGCTGGTACAGATGAGTTTAGACCCTAATAAAATAAGTAACATAAAAAAAATCACTTGAGAAGTTTGGGAAACACTGACCTGAATGTCAGAATACCATCTCTGGGAAAGGGGCTGCTTTTTCCAAGCAGGAAATTGTTGGAAAGAAAGTGGTGTTGCCATGTGAACAGGGCAGGCAGCATTAGCTCCATGAGCCTGCTGTTTAATAGCTTGTGTATATCATACTTTTTATTTGAATGATTATGTTGCACCAGATTCTCCTTGCTCCTGAGAAGGTATTGAAAACTGGGAAACAAATAGTTCTGCATCTGCTGAGTTTTCATAATTTGGGAGGAATTGCCTTTTGGAAAGTAGATTACTAAATTTCTAGGACCAAAATCTCTTGTAGCTCTTATTATTACTGGAGGGACTGCTGTTCATGTACATCAAGGCAAATCAGAGGCTGTAGGAGATTTGATGGGCTATCTACAAAATTGACTGCCTGTTTCCCTCTTTGTCTTTTATCCTTTCTCCTCTGTCTTTGCTTTTCTATGGCTTTCTCTCTCCTTTTTTTTTCTTTTTTTAATATTTTTTCTCCCCCCTTCTCTCTCTTTCTCCTGCTCACATTGAGTGATCTTTTCAGACAAGCGTCACAGAAAAGCTGTTTTTTAGATTAACACAGTCTCCACTTTTTTATTGACTGGCCTGTAACAGCTAATGTGATTTGCACTTCTGTATACAGCTGTCTATTATTAGACCCATCATACTGGGACTGATGTACAGGTAACTATTAGTCACCAGCGGAGCTGCTAATTGTGTAGATTAATGGATCATTCCAATTGGATTTGTTGTCTCCAAACAGAGACGTGATTAAAGCAAGGAAAAATCTCTTGCCTGGCTTATGCTTTGAGAATGAGTGACTTTAGCGTGATGTGCCCCCTTGTATAACTCAGATGCCTGATTATTAATGCTCTGCCGTCTCCCCCCACACTGCAGTGGGAGGGCAGCAGCTCTTCCTGCCAACCCTCCTGTCGTTAATCACCAGCAAACACTTCACCTCAGCCAGTTCCCTGCCTGGGCAGTGCTGGGCACTGCAGTTCCTGACCCCGTTGTTGGCAGGGTGGACTGGTTGGTTCTTGCAAAACACCTTTCTGCCACTGGCACCCGTGTCCTGTCCCTTTAATGCAGGAATCTGTTCTTCAGACTTCTCAGACCACACAGCCTCCTCCAGGCTCTCCATATCTAGCTGGAATCTGGACAAGATCTCCTCCCTGTTTAGCAATACAAGAGGTGCAGCATGGTTATAGTACTTGAAATTTATTCAAAAGCATGTTGAAAATCCAGGGCCAAACCCAAATGTAGGGTCTCTGGGCCTCATTAATTAATCTTATTTTTATTGGTGCCTGTTCTATAAAGTGTGAGTGGCTCGTGAGTGCCAGAGAGCCATGGCTAAGCAGGAACAGAGATGTGCCTCTGTTAGTGCTGGAAGTCAGGTAGAAGGACACATTCACTGTCTTCCAAACAAAATACCACAGGCAAAGGCATTCCACAAGCTCCAAGTTTGGTCCAGTGACATCACTTCTTATCAGGTTGTAAGCTGCTGCCAATCCCAACAGGCCAAAGGCAAAAAGCAAAAGCTGAGTATGCACCAGCTGACATGGACATCGCTCAGGAATAGTTCAACTTTTAAAAGCCTTTTATTATCAAGCTGTAACAAAGCTGCTTTGTGCCATAAATACAAAGACATGACCCGCTTCCCCTCGCTCTGTCAGGTGGGTAAGAAAAGTTCCTTTCATCCTTGGTCACAGCACTCCCCAGGGCTCACTGCTTTGTGTGGGAGGCGAGTTAGAAACCATTGACAAAAACAGAGAGGAAAGCCCTCTGCCCTTCTGTGCACAGGTCATGTAGTTTATTGCAGCAGATTCTGTCCTCACCAGCTTCCCTTCAGTCTCACCTGCAGGTATTTGCATCTCTGCTGATGCCTGTGGAAAAGAAAATTCTTTGCTGTCAGTTCAGAAGTGCCCTTTAGGCAGGGGTTGCTAAACCAGTGGAACCTTGAGGTGGAAATCCTTGCCGTGTTCTTTGCTAAACCCTTCTCACTGAATCAGATACGTTGTGGTGTGTTCAGTGCAAATGCAAGTAGGTCCCGACTTCCAGTAGCCAGAGTTACGCTTTACAGGCTGATGTTCGGATCTCTGTCCATTTGTATCTGGCCTGGAGCTTTTTATTGACTTGGCTGCTAAAGTTGTGCAGAGCGGAGGGAAGGGGAAGCCTGACCTAAGTGAAAAGTTCCAGCATTGTTTTGTCTGTGTTTAACCAAATGAAATAGAGTGAACAGGGTAATGTATCCCAGGCACTGTCTGGTGATTTCCATTTCCCTCCTCCACATACTGAGGCTGTTGAACTCATGTGTAGCCCCGTCTCAAGGCTCTGATGTGCCTCAGCTCCAGCAGCGTGAATGTCCCTTTGTTGTTCTTCGCAGTCCTTTGCTGACACACGTCTCGCTGTGCCTGGGCACAGCTGCATCCCAGAGACAGGGGAGCCTTCAAAGAGAGAGCAAATGGACCCTGCTGCAGTCTGCTGGTAGTAACAGATAATTAAGTCTAAAAGTTTCAACAAAGGGAAGACATTTATTGCCAGGCAAAGCCCAACAGCACTGTAGGAAATGTCTTTGGTGGTGCCTGTATGCAACCCTCCTGTCTGTATGGGGAGTTGGTAAATGTTTACATTCTTTAGGTCTTAAAGATAATCAACCACACTGTGTTGATGGGAACCTAGAGGATATAAACTAGTGAAATCAAATTTTATCAAGCCATTTAAGCATAATCTTTTTTTATCTCTGCAGGCATTTCTTCACCGGATCCGCCAGAATGCTGTGGACAAAGCTGAGAAGTACATAACAGAGGAGAATGTTAAGGTATTTCCTCTGTCTTCCTCATTTTCTTGGTAGGGAAAATGATATGCAATGAAAGGCCAGGTTCAGGGATATGAATATCAAATACCCTCTTGTCATATTGATGCTTATTATTAAGCTGGTTCCCTAAGGGAAAGAGCTCATGTTGACAGTTTATCTGTCAATCTGTTTGCCCATTCTTATAGCTGTCATCTTCCAGCAATTTTTCATCTCACCAGCTAATTTCAGTAAAATCTGACAACAGTGCAGTGTTGTCAGAGATACTAACTTTTGGCAAGATTTGTGAAATGGTGAGTAGAGGACAGAGAGGCCATTTCAGCGTCTTCGAGAGGAAAGGCGGGGAATGCACAGTCCTTGTCCATTTTGCCTGACAGTGTTCAGTTAACCAGTTCCTATCTGCTGTCTTCTACTACTGTAAAATTGATAGGGCTTGTGAAAAGGAGGCAGGAATATTCCTTTGTGTTCTAGTGGAAAGGAATTTGGGTTCGTGTGGGAGTGCTGGTTCCTGCATTTCCTGGCCCGCTGTTCCCTGGCTGTGCCAGGTGCCGAGCAGGGCTCCAGTCCTGCTCTGCCTGTCACGCCAGCAAGGAGAGCTGTTGGCTGGCTGGCATCAGAAAGGGCTGGGAGCAAGACTGATGGCAGCTTTGTGGAGCTCAGCTTCTTGCTGTCTACAGATTTGGAAATCCCCAGTCCCCAAAAACTCACTGTCCAGTGTCTGAAGTAAATTTGAGGCTGGCTGAAGAAAAAGTAGACAAGTGATCAGTGACAATAGATCAGTGCAAAAAGTGTGTCTGCTTGCAAATAAACCTACACAACTATTTGCCAATTTGTCAAGCAGCTGCTGATGAAAATTATTATCCTATCATTATTCATATATCATCAAAATGAATATTAATTATGACTGCCATATAATCAGATACAGTGCCCACAAAGCCTCTGCAGAAGAATTCATATTTTTTCTGCTGATTTAAGTGTATTTGTATTTGAAGTTTCATCACACTTCTCTGGGGAAGTACCAATTCATTTTGTGTTATTCTGGAAGTGCTTAGGGGGTCTTTTTGAGGCCACTGTGAGGCCTCATTTATTCTAGTTATTACAATACCCAGCCTTCCATAACAGAGCTTCTCTTCAGTAAAAAAGGGCCTGTGCCTATTGCTGGTGAAACAGAATCACAAAGGCACAGTTTTCCTGATCAGAGGAGTATATTCAATATTATCTCCTCTTTCCACCCTCCATCTCCCACTATGCCAAATAATTTAATTGTTTTTCCTGCAGTTCGAAGATACTTGTTCTTTTTTTCCCCTTATTCTTTTCTCCTTTCTTACTGGTAGATGCAGGGAAAGCAAGGTGGTGTTGGGACTTGTAATAATCTCCCTGCTGATATTAGGTGTCTCGAGTCACCAGAGAGCTGTGAGGTGGCTGATGGTAGCAGACACTGTAAAAATGATTTGGCAGCTTATGTAAGGAGAAACCTGTCTTTTCCTCCCTTTCTTCATGCAGCAGAAATGTCTGGAGGAAAATACAGGGTATTCTGGCAGTCACTCACCTCTGAGCAAAAGGAGAAAGTACTCTTTAGGCTAATTTGGGTTATTGCTCCCACTATGATTTTTGCAGGTTTCTCCTACGGCTGGAGCTCAGCACGGGAGGTTTCAGTAATCTTTGGCCACTGTAGCCCCTTCCAGAAGGGCTGCACTGAGTCCTGTGCCAGGCCCAGATTTTACAAGTGCTCCAGTGATTAACAGCTGCAACCACATCAAACCAAAGAAATTGTTTTTAGTTTATATGCTGTCTCACGTGGGAATAACTCTCGTGATCTGTTCTCGCTGTGCTGTCACCTCCCTGATGCAGCAGGTTGAGGGCAGTGCAGTGGGAAGGTGGGCACAAGGGTGGGAAGTGCCTTAGACACAGGAGCACGTGCAATCAAGGTCTGTCTGCTGCCCTGATTTTCAAATGACTCTTGTCTGCAAATTCTGCTGCAAGCAGAGCTCTGCTGATCACCACAGAACTCATTAGATTGCACAGATACTCCTTGGATCAAAAAGCACCCCCCGAAGGCTGCTCCTGAAGGATCAAATCATCCCCGACAGATGTTTTCCTCTTGCTTGTTAATCCCCTTTTGGCACAGCTTCTGGCAAAGCCACGCAGGCAGGGGCTGCCCTGTCATCACATCGCTTCCAGCCATGTGACAGAACCATGGTAGGCTCTGCTGGAATTAGCACAGGAAGTTTTCTGGGAGCAGGTTTGTAGCTCCCAGGCCTTTTCTTGGGTTCAGAGCCCATCAGTGCAAATTCAGTGCATTGGGATATTTTAGTTTATTGAGGGCTAGAAAGGAGCTCTGAGGCACAAGTGTGCATTCATGATGTATCTCAGCATTCCTGAAGGGAGAGGAGAGCAGACAAGGAACATGCAACAGGCTTTGCTCTGCACACACATCCAGCTTGCAGGAGTTTGAGGGAAATACTCTGTCTGTCCTTGAATAACAGAGGGTAGAGAGCTGAACCTGGGCACCTGCAGAGAGGAAGGCTCCTTGAATTTGTATTCTACTCTACGCCTGCTAAACCAGAGAGAAACTGGTTATAAACCAGGAAGTGAGGTTTAATTCCTATGACTAGATTTAATTTACTGATTATTGTTACTCTAAATTGATGCCACATCATCAGCCACCAGGCTGAGTCAGTGTCATGTCTGGTGAATAAATTCCAGTGTATAAAGCTGAAGTGTTGAGTGTTAGGGGAGGCATTTTGGGAATTGTTTGAAAGATATGAGAATTGATCACTTCCCACACCAAATGCCAGGAAGGTGAAGGCTGGCTCTGTCAGGCTGCAGACTGTGGGGTTCAGAGAATTGTCTCCCACTCTCTGAGCCAGACCTGGGAGTCTCCTTCCAAAGTGAAAGCTGGTTTGACTGCACTGCAGATCTTCTCTTTGCAAGTGTTGTAATTAAAGCAGAGTGGTAGAAACATTGTCTGCAACGTGTGTGTCACTGCAGACTCCAGGATTTCCTCTGCCCTTTCAGGCTTCCCTCCAGTGGCTGCCAGCGCTGGTGGCTGTCACTGCACATCAGCACTTCTCCCCCTCTGTAGGTACCCTTCCATCTCCTACGTGTGGATTCACACTTTCTTCTCCTATTTTGCATGAAAACGATTAAGACTTAATAAATTTAATGTGTTTATAGCAACTTTCACCCTGGCAGTTTATTCCCCTTAGCCCGCATATATTCCAGTCCCAGAGATCACATAACTGTCACAATTACCTTTTAGTACAGGGCTGAACCAGGGGCCTCTCTGTGCTTTGGATCCTATCATGGCAAGTCTAGAGCCACAATATTTTGGTGCTGCTACTTAACCAAACACTCTGAGATGTATTAAAAGCTAGCCATGTTTTTCTTGTTATATTTCAGATCTTATTTTCTAACATTGAAGACATTCTTGGTGTTCACAAGGAGTTCCTGGCTGCCCTGGAATTTTGTTTACAACCAGAACCTCAGTCTCAGCATGAACTGGGAAATGTTTTCTTAAAATTTGTAAGTACAATGACTTAATGCTATCTGAAAATGCAGTTTCCTGTCAGAAGCTCTCCTGCCCCTTAGTAAGTCCTAATCTCTAAGGCTTGTAGCAATACTATGACAATGTATGTCATGTATGAAAGTTGTAGGTAGGGTGGGAAAAAATTTGTGAATGAGAACTTGTGAATTAGAACAATGGACACCACGAACTCAGCTAAACAATGATGTATTTTTAGAAACTCTTCCTTTTTCCATTGATTTTTTTCCTTTTTTTTTTTTCCTCACCCAGCTGATCACATTATATTGCTGAGAATTTGCCTGCTTTGGTTCCAAATTTTTCAAAAAGCAGCTCAGTCTCAAGTAAATGAATAATCTTTGTGTGTATTGTAAAATTTTAAATAATTGAAACCCATAAAGATCAAAATTAAACCCAATGGACAGTACATCATTTACAGTAGTTGGTGTCTGTGCATACGCTTGTTTGTAAATGAAAGGTGGTGAGAGAGGGTTTATCTTGCTGAAATGAAGCACAAGTTACAACACCCAGCCTTTGAGCATGGAACAACTGAGTACCTGCACTCTGTAGCTCCAAAATAAATCCAGTGTGGCTTTTGAACTCCTACTGCAGGCTCAGGAATGCCAGACACAGGAGGGAAGGCACTCCTGCGACACAAATTCACTCTGCCAGGTAGTTTAGGACATTTTGGCAAGTTACTTCTGTATCATCTGGCTTTGTGCCTGACAGCTGGTACTTGTTCTGCTGTACAGCCACAACATGATCTTGTGTCCATCCTCATCTGCTCTGAGGTGCTCCCTGATCCAGGAGAGCACAGACCCACAACAGGGACCCTGCAACTGCAGCTGCTGCTCCTGCACTGCCTCTCTCCTTGTCACTTGTTTCTTATGCTGTGGAACTGTTCCTGGGGTAGATTTTTGGGTTCTTTCTCACTTGGCCTGATTTCAGTCACATGCATGTGCCATCCTCTTGACTAAGGTGTGTATGGAGCATGTATCTGCAATTGGTATTTGCAAAACCAATTACATACACCAAGTTACAGGCTGGACTAATTTAAATGCAAAGTTACCTAATTTACATGTAAAATAATTAGAAATTGCACATTTTTTTTCACTTGGAGCAGCCCTCCTGAGATGTCTGAAAATTAGAAAGCAAGTACATAATAGCCATCTCTTCAAATTCTTATTAATTCCACCAAGCCACAGGCCTGTTTCCTATCAAAATGTGTTCTATTAGGCTCTCATAATCAGAATTCATGCTTTCACAGTTCATCAGCTTTGAGTGGGCAGCAGTTCTACAGCCATTCATTACTTGGAGCTTTACCAGCTACTCTCCTTGTTTGAGTTTTATTTATGCTGTGACAATTATTAAAATAGTATTGGAAAGTGGGTTACTGAGACCATGCCCCAGAATTGTATCAGGTGTGAGAAACGACTGTCAGCTGCTGAAAAACTTCTTGGTGACTCAGTTAAAGCCTTGACCACCCACTGGAATCATGGCTATGAACAAGATATACTGTATTAATATATTAATATTCAATAGGGAGACTGTCAGAACTAGAGGGTGACGCTGTCAGATTGGCTGCTGTGTTGGAGTGGTGCTGAAAAACCCGAAATGTTTGCTTCCAGTTGTTGGACTGACTGCAAGGCCTGAGATATGTAGTCACTGGTGCTGTTTTCTTGTATATGAACATACCATTTTGCATTTATTACTACTAAATCACAATTATAAATTATAATTATGCAGTATTCCTTACCTATCCAACATGCAGCAATACAGGAATTATGAAATGCAGTGCATAGGAGTGAGTGCTGGTGAGAATTGGTCTTCTGATAGTGGGACTGAGTGAGCTCACGTCACTGTCTGTGGAGTGAAGTGCCAATAATGGACACCCCAAGTGTTTCATGATCCCCTTGGGGAGAAGCAGCTTGTGCACATGGAAGTAGAACATATATTTAATTCAGAATATATGGAAAAAGCTGGTCTCATCCATAATTTCCTTAAGGAAATATAGGAAAACCATTAGGAGCAGTGTGGAACCTCTAGTCTGAGTAAGGAATAGTCAAGGCAGGGAGAGCACATCCACTGACTGTGCAGTGACCACAGCTCAGCTGTGCAGGTCAGGAAGACGTGACTGTGGAGCAGGAGGGCAGGGAATTGCCAGATTCTTCCCTTCTGATATTGCCAGAGGTTTGGTGACGTAATAGCTGGAAATTAGTTCAAGGGAAATGTGTTTTATGCTGATGTTTTAGGAGCAGTGTTGCACGAGTGATCAGTTTTACTGTCTAAGTCATCAGGGATCTTGTTTTGTTGAGGATTATGTCTTCTGTTTTGGTTTTTCATGTTGACAAAATTGGTTTCAGCCTGCTTTGAAACAAGAAAATGCCATGCCTTGTTAAAAATATGCCCAAATAAAATGGTTAGAGTTTCCCAAATGCTTTACTTGTTTTTTTTCTAGTTAGAACTGTTTTCAAATTTGTACTAATTTGTGGGCAGTTCTAATGGACCCAAAATAACATATTGGGAGAATAGACTATTGGTTAAAGATTTATTTTAACTGAACAAAGAACAGTGCAGACTTAGCAAAACCAGGAGGTCTTGCTGTGTATCCAGCAGATTTGCTGAGTAAGAAGGTACCATTTTTATGTGTGCACATCTCTGACCATAATTGCACTTTAATCTAGAGTAACTGCAGGTTCAGAATTCCTCAGCTAACATCTGTAATTAGGTAACTGATAATTTCCTCCCCAGGCAAGGGGAGAGCCCAGGACTGACTGTCACCCCGAGAGGAAATTAAACACTAGAGCCACTGAGTCATTCAAAGCGTAGTTCTCATATTTGTGGGTCGCCGGCGTGTGGCACAGCTGGGGAGGGCTCTGGGGTGTGTGCAGTTATTGCTCTGTCTTGAGCTTTAGCAAAGGGATTTTGTCATGATCTAAATATAACCCCCCAAACTCCAGGCACTCAGAGCTGCAGTCAGAAACCTGGGCAGTGACATTTTGCGTGCGCTGATGCAGTGGATGCTGTTGTGTTAATGGCTCTATTTTTAGTTTCAAGCACGGTGCTTGTGTGCTTCCTTGGAGCTGAGAAGAGGTGAGAGGAGAATATGTGGGAGAAACTTGGATATCTGTTTTATTGTGTAACTCTAGTTTTTGTGGTTGACAGCAATCCTATTGACTTTTCTCTATTGTGTTATGGACCCAGCCCTGCCTTTTCCTGCATCTGGTGATCAGAGCCTTTGTTTCTCTGCAGCTTTCCAATATTCCCAGTATTCCCAGTAGCAACTGAACAGCTGCTGCTGAAGGATAAAAGTCTTGCACGTGTGCATTCCAGCTCTTGGCACCCTACCCTTTGTGGCTGCTGTTTTATTTGCTTTGTACTATTGTTCTTGTGTTTGGGCATACATATATTTATTCTCAGTTCTTTCTCTGGAAGTACAAGGAGGGGAATACATTTCATCAGATCAGTGATAAACCAAACCCCAAAGTGTTTTGCAGTCTCTGTGCATGTACATCTACCTCTGAGCATCTGACCAGAATGTCAAATTCTCCTCAGCTAACATTAACTCAATTTCTTTTCCATGTGACAGTAGCAAAGGGAATAGCCAGGCAGTGCAGCTGTATTCCCATGGATTCATGTTACAGAACCCCTTCAGTTGGCAGTAGTTTTTTCCTTGGATCAGTATGAGCTATCTTAAAAGCAGTTTGATGCTGCAGAGATCTTCATCTGACTCAGGAAGGTTTAGGAGTTCTAGGAGGCAAATCAAAACTCAAAGCAATTAACTTCCAAGTCCTGGGGAGATGAAGAGGTCCAGGTAGAGTGTTTTCAGACCGGGATCCTGATGTGAATGCAGTAGCAAACTATGGAGGGCATTGGCTGCACGGCTTGGTGCCCTTGAGGTGTAGCTCTGGACGGCCTCACATATTACCCCTGACAGAGTTCCACACTAATGCACTGAACTGACTTCTGATATGCAAAGTAGCCTGTCTGGGTGCTCTGCATGGCACTGCATTGTGATTAAATGTGGAAAATAAACTGCTATTGTGAGAAACACCCAAAAAATGATGGTTTTTTTTTTTTTTTTGGCTTCTGAATTGTTCAACCTACCTAAAGCCTATTGCAATCTCGTGACCCTCTTTTATTCTGGCGGATGCAATGCTGGAACCCCAGAACATTGCTGCTGAAAGTTCAGCCAGTCCCACCAGCCTTTAGAGGACCAGCTCACCTTTTACCTCATCTGCTCAGGCATGGAAATATTTGTTACTCTTTCTTTTTTGAATCACTCCAGTGTTTCCAGATACCTTGTGTTTGCAATGGGTTCAGCACCTCTGATCACTTTAGATAGAAGAAGTAGCACTATCTTTCAATCTGGAGCTCAGCAGAGCAGAACTTGCTGCCCCTGAGCTGCCAGCTGACCCTTGTTTCTTACCAGGGGATTTCCTTCCAGCATGTGCTGGTGGGGGTACCTCAATCTAGTTCTGAAGCTGCCTTTCCATTTCTTTAAATATGCTGGTTATTCTGTGTGTATTTCATGAAATTCTTCCAGGTAGGGAAACTATTATGGACAGCTGTTTGGTGGTGTCTGCCACTTGTTTCAGAACACAAAGTGAACCAACCAGTTCAGTGGGGCTTGACCCTTACCCCTGAAAGGCAGGGAGTTTCCAGCTGGTTGCTTTGTGTTATAGTTCCCCTCCAGGTCTCTGAGCTTCTTCCAGGCCTTGGTTCTTCCCAGCCACCTGTGTTTCTTCCTCCTTTAGGAGTGGTCAGCACAGCTCAGAAATATCAGCCCTCTTGCTCCTGGTTACTCTCATGGAACATCCTAACACACAGACAAGTATCCCTGAGATAGCAAAATCCCTCCTTTCAGCAAAGAATACTCGTGATCTCAGTGATGTTTTAAGAGAAGTTCTGGAAATCTCAGTGCTCAGAAAGCTGCTGTTGACTTACAGCAGAGTTAAGCCAGGAGTCAGTGGAACACCTGTATACATTATTCACATTAGAGGAGTGTCACATGCTTCATGAGAACTCCAACCCTAATGCCACCTGGAGTGCACCCCTGTTTGTAAAGAATTTGGTATCAGACTGTGGCAAAATACCCTCTCAAGTTGTGTCTGAGTCAACAAGTTGCTCCGTTTTTCCCTGCAGAAAGACAAATTCTTTGTGTACGAGGAGTACTGCAGCAACCACGAGAAAGCACTCAGACTGCTGATGGAATTGAACAAGATCCCAACAGTGAGAACATTCCTGCTGGTAAGCACCTTCTCTAGCACTCTTGACTTAACAATCTGACTTTGCCCTGCACTCATAACAACCCTTTGGTATCCCAGGAATGCTGGACACTTTGCAGGTGGTATCCATTCCAGGTATGGAGCGCTCAGGGTGGGTGGATGTTGAGGTAGCTGGTGAGTTGAGGCACAGAACTGTGCACTCCTCTGGTGTGAGTGACTGCAGTGGAAACAGGGAAGGTTTTTTTTCTATGATTTTTTTTTTTTTAGAGAAGCAACAGAAAAAAATGAGCACAGATTGTTAAAAGAGTAATGCAATAAGTCAGCAGCAGGACTAATTCCCATTGGATTTGATTCCCTGCTCAGTTCTCTAACCAATTTACCATCTGCAGGCTCACCAGAAAATTGTGGCCTGCTTCTGACACCTTTTTCCCCATGAGTCCAGTTGTGGGCAGGAAATGTAGTCTGAATGAATTTGTTTTGACTGCATCATTGCTGCTTATACCAAAAGTGCCTCTTAAGAATCTGGGCTGAGAGGAGAAACAACCAGTGGATAATGCCTTCTGCCCAACATTCCTTATTTTTCTTTCTTGGTCGTTTCTTCTCTTTCCTTTCACCCCCTTTCTGCTTGATTTTTGAATGTCTTGTTTTCCTGCCTGTGGATGCATGGCATTTGGATTGGGGTTGGCACATAGGTGAGGCACGTCAACTTTTTTCCCAGTAAATTTATGAACTAAAAGGCTGTCCTTTTGCCAAGGACCTACTCTTCTTTCTGCTCTTCTTTTTTTAACTTTTTGCCAAAGGTCTGCTCTTTCCCAATATAGTACAGCAAAAGAAAACTTCTGCATAAATGTCAGTCACAAGCAGGGCCAGAGCATTCCTTTAGCCACAAAATACAGGCCTCAGAGGGAGCAGCAGGGACAAGCCCTCGTGCTGGTGGGTAGGCAGAGTCTCTTTGTCATGTCTGAGTTTAAATGAACCTTGTCAAGCCATTACTCTGAGTCACCAAATGACCCTTTCCTTGTTCATGGATTCTCTGGGTGCTTCTGTTGGGGGAAATTAATGAGAAGGAGGAGGGAAAAGTACACGTAAACGCTGTCCTTCCCAACATTCAGAACGTTCTCCACTTCCACTGGACTGACAAAGCCTCCTGTCTGTGTTACTGGCAGCAACTGGCAAGCTGATTACAAGGCACACGGAAGATGTCACACTGTCTGCTGTGGGTTGCTGCAGCACCTGAATCCAGGAGAGTCTTAAAATAGCAGTAAATATGGGAAGAGAGGCTGCACTGAAGTGTCTACTTTGCTGTGGCTGCTGTAATGTCTTTCAAGCCTCCCTTCCCTTCTCCACTGCCCCCTAAAGCCACGGCTGTAATGCCACTGTGCAGGGAGGGCAGAGTTAAAATACAAAGCTTTGCTTGTGAGGGTGGATTTGGCCCGATTGCCCCCTCACAGCTGCTGAAAGAGAAAATGTGGGAATGTGTTTGAAAAATCAGTAAGTGTTAAAGGGCAGTTTTGAGCCCAGAGCTACAGAGAGGGCTGAAAGAAGACATGGGAAGGACTGAATCACTCGAGACTTGGAAAATTGGACAGGGAGCATTGTGAGCTGGTAGCCAACGCCACAGATCTAGAATAGCCTGGGGAAGGGTTATTTTACAGGCAATTGTCTGTAAAAATACCAGTCAGGACTGATGAGATTTTATGTACGATGTCTGTGAACATTCCTTGAAGAGGACTGTTGAACTACAGCCAAAAACCCACTGAATTTCAGAATGTGTCTGAGCCACGGCACACATTTCTCAGGGAAAAATGTTACTGGTGGTGCCCCAAAACGGGCCCTTCTTGCCTGAACTGCATTTAAACTTCAGCTTCTGTGGACAGGACAGGTTTGCAGCTGGGGTGATTTTTTGGAGCAAAGTCCATATTCCTGATTGAACATAGGAATGTGGAGTAGTTTATATAAAATAGATTTGAAGTCTGTCTGAATCCAGTATCTGTCTCTGGGAGCTGCCAATAGCAGAATCTTCAGGGAAATGTATAAAAAGCTTACAGTAGGTTAGTATTCATTTGTCACACAGATTATAGATTACTGTGACAAAATAAGGACAGATCAAGGACTAGAAATGTTTTTTTTCCCCCAGTTCTTATACTCCCCTTCTATGTCAATCCTGAGAAATGAATGTCCATAACTTGTTGGGAAGTTCACGTGTGCTGGTTTAGGCAGCCAGTGCACCCAGGCTGTTTGTCCAGCTGTGCTCAGGCATAATGTTTTGCCAGAGAATTGGTGGACGTGATGCAGATGAGTAATTTGTTCCAATTCCAGTTCAGTTTCCTTCAGGCATAAGGACTGAGCTAGAGTAAATGCCATGATTGCTGGTTGGTAGGCTTTATTTTAGCCTTCGAGAGTTTGCTGGACCAATAATGTGAAACCAGTGAACAAAACCAGATGGTCATACCGGTTGTGGGGGGTAGGTTGGATTCTTTCAGGTGGTGGTGCATCCAGGTTTACTGATTGCCATTGTTTTGTTGTGACAGTTTTTGAGCCACCAGCTGTATAATATTTCTCTGGGATGATAGCTTTGTGCACAGCCATTGTTATCCACAGCAGATTTTCTTCTCTTGATGCCTGCAGAACTTTACAGAGTTGATGGCTCTATGTCAGGGGTAAATGAAGTGCCATTTCCTGTACCTTAGGTTTGACAAAGTGTTTTGTGACTTAAATGCATGTTGTAGGAATACAAAATCATGTCAAAGAGCACCTGAAAGCTTTGTATCTGAGGTAACATTTCTTTCCTTTTTTGATTATAGGGTTGTATGCTTTTGGGAGGCAGAAAGACGACAGACATTCCACTGGAGGGTTATCTGCTGACTCCAATTCAGAGAATTTGCAAATATCCACTTCTGCTTAAGGTAAACCAAAGAAAGTATTTCTCCAGGTGGTTGTTTTATTCTTTGAATGATTCTGCATTTTTTTTAGCCCTGACTTTTGTTGCCACTGCTGCTTTCCTGAAGGTTGGATCTTCCCTGAAGAAAATGTGTTTTTATGGGTACAGGGGAAAAGATGCCTGATGCTGACAGGGTACTAAATCCTATAATGGTCTAGGTAGACCAGACAGGGTAAATAACCAAAGCCTTTTGAATTCAGTTCTCTTCAGATGTTACTAAGGCTTGTGAGGGCTATTTCAGCCACTTCCTGTAAAGCTTTGTTCAGCCAGAACTGTGCCAGCATTCCGAGGGACTGGGTGGGGGTGGACTGTAAACTGGATACGTCTTTCATCACAGTATATCTACTTTGAGTGTGTTTAGGTCAGTAATGATCAAAATCCTGCATCATCTGACAGCTGTTTGTCAGCTTGTTTGAAAACTGTTTGGTTGTCTCAGATGATTCCCAGTGGAGAGATGTGATTGCAGAAACAAGTGCTGTAAGTGGCAGTAATTGGCCCCCGTGTTGGTATTCTTACCATAGCAACTAAAGAATAAAAGACCTGAAGAGAGCTAAGTTGCTTCTCATCCTTCTAGGTCAGGACAAGGAGAGGGAAAAGGAGAAAGCAGTTTTTGGGAGAGCTTGCATCACCAGTGACCTTGTGGGCACACTGTGGCTGACAGCCATCAGTGTTCTGTGATGTCAGTCCATTGCTCAGCCAGAGTAACACAGCATTTACTAAAAGGAAATTTATTAAATAAAGGAAGAGCTTCCCTCATTCTTGGAAAGAAAGGTCCCTTTCTGAGTTCTGGAAGAAAGTAAGAGCTCTGTGCTGAGCTGGTGCTCTTGGTCCCTGGCTGAGCCCATGAACCAGCTGTGTCATGTGCAGCTGTTGCAGTGCTGGGCCCTTCCCCTCCCCAGGTGAAGGGATTTCATAGGTATGAGCTGTTTGGCTCAAGACTCACCTGCTATTCCACTGAAAATTGTAAATTGCTCGTTTCATCTGGTAAATCTTTAAATGATTTATTTTCATCCAACTGCAACTTTCAGAGCCAAATTTTCAAAGCGTGTCTTTCCTACAGGTGGAGTCATTCTGTCACCTGCACAGTTATCTAAAAGCAATCTTTGAGCAGTTTTCTCCCAAAATTTCATGAACTTTTTGGATGAAATAAGAAATCCCTGTTAGCACACCGTATTTCTTACCTTTTGCTCTGTGTCCTTGATGAGCTGCTGGTGGCTCTGAAGTCAGTGCCGTTTCACGTGTTGGGTCTGACCCTGCAGGGTGGAGACCATCAGTCATCTCTTGAGCATGGTTTGGGGATTTCTCCTCTAAGCCATGCACATGCATGGCTGTCTTAGAGAACTCCCTCTCTTACTTCTGTGCCTCAGTGCCTCTGCTTTTTCTCTTTTTAGCATTACTGTGTTGCTGAATCACCTATTGCTGATTAGACCTGCTTAATTTCTAAGATCTCTGGGAAGCACGAATGACTGCTAGGCTTTTATCAGTTTGGATAATCTGTAGACCTTTCTGTCTGCTGGCAGGAACTTGACTGGCAAATTGAAATTTCTACTTTGTTTTAAAAGCTCTTCAAAATACTAAAATGACAAAAGCTGCCAATAGTATAAATTCTTCTGAAATTTCAGGGCTTTTACTCAAATCCCACAAGAATGCTGACTACAGAAACACACCTAAAAGAAATGCACACCTTTGATTATGAGGTAGTAGCATCATTGATGCAATGACACTTTGGTGTTCTTCACCTTAACTTCTCCCATTCCTTGGTGTCATTCCAGGGCAGGTCTTTCAGCAAGAGCTCTGACCAAGCACCTCCTGATGCTGCATCCCATTCTTCTGTGGCCTTCTTTCTGTATCCAGGCCGATAGAAATGACACACTGTTCACTATTTGAAATTTCCTGGACAGGAAATACAAACTTTTAAAAAAAGCTGAGGGGAATAAGGTTTTGATAAGGCAACAAATCTGCCTCAGTCAGTGAGATTATGCCACGACTAGAGGTTGTTCAGCTAAGGAAATACCGATGACTATTAGAAATTCTGCTGGATTCTGATTCTCAAAGTTACTGAATTCATAGTGAATAAACTGTGTCCTGGTCAAGACTTGTTTGATACTTTCTAGCACAAAATTACCAGGGTGGACACAAATGTCTCAGACATGAGAACAGCTCAGGGAAAATACAGGCGTGTTCTGTTCATGCTGACCAGGAAAATGGAGCTTTCCGAGCAAGGAAAAAAAAGATAGATTTAAAAATAGCACAACCCTCAATTTAAGTGTTTGCTCTCCCTTTGCAACTGAACTGCAGTTATTGCTCCTGAAATAGCTGTTTTGTATTCATGGGGATTGGATCTTATTTTATCTGATTCCCAGGGCAAACAGATACTGTTGCATTCCACCTGATGAGAGAAGTGAAAGACCAGAGCTAGCCTACTTTCCTCTTTTACCTTTGTTTTTAGCAAGAGTTTGTGAACATCCAGATTTCCTGGTAACTTTGATATGACCTTGTTTAGCATAAGTGTTTAGTGTAGCTGAGTAGTAGGTTTGGTAAAATTGGTATCCACCATGGAATTCAGGCTTGTCTGTGTTTGAAAGACAACGGGAGCAGCAGAGCAGGGCACATCTTTGAAATGCTGAACTGTTTTTTTATTAATGTCTTATGTGAGTATTCCTCTTCAGAATAATAGCATCTGGCACAGAGCTGATTTGGGTTACCTAATGAGGAATAATATGCTGGAATATCTCCAAGTGCAGATACACTTTAGGCATATATTGCAATAATTTCCAAAAGCTTATGGCATCCTGCAACTGGTGACCTTATGTTTTCTCATCCTCTGAGGAAACTATTTGGGTTTTTTTGACTAGCAAATGGTGGAGATAGGACAATGATTCAGATGATGGTGATTGATAAATTTCAGTTCTATTTGTAGTTTCCCAGCTTTTGTATCTCAAGCATTGCAGCTTTGGAGTGGCTGACTGTAAACAGTTTTGGGGTTTTTGTTGTTGTTGTTGTTTTTTGTTTGTTTGTTGTGTTTTTTGTGGTTTGTGCATTTCTTTTGGTTTTGTTTTTTTTTTTTTTGAGTTTGAACATTTGGGTTTCTTTCTTTCTGACTATTTTGCAAGCCTTTTATATGTTTTGAAGGCTGAGACTCCAACCTAGCTATGGCATTTCATAATCTCTGTACAAACAGAGGGGTAATGGTATTAATATTTTTGCCCCTAATACAGTTCTTACCTGCTTCAGACAGCATGCAAGAAAATTAGTGTAGAAGTTGCTGGTCAGTAAATGACGTCCTTTTAATTGAGGAAGGGGCTTGGACTAGGCTCAAACAAAACTAAACTGTGCTGGGCACTGTGATTTGGGAAGAGGAAAGGAAGCAGAGGCAAACAGATGCACAGACCTTGAGGGCATAAACTGTGTGAGCCACTTGGAAGCAGCCAGAGAGTTCCCTGGTGTTCCAGCAGAATGGTTTGGATGAAGGCAGCTCTGTCCCACTCCAGGTAACCTGGGGGACTCTACTATCTAGTCTGAACCCTACTGCTGAAGAGCAAAAGCAGCTGTTCTGTAAACCAGGCTCTGAACAAAAATAGCCTTTTTTTCCTTAATAAAGAGCATTTATGTCAGCCAGAAGCAAACCCTGGGGGAGTGGTGATCATGAGTTAATCACACCATCGGGTGGGGATTAGGCAGTCACTTCTGTCTCCTTCCTCCCAGCTCTGTAGAGGAATGTGCAGCACATGATTGGAGCACCCCACGGCTCCCCAGAGCCCCGAGCTGTCCCAGGGCCTGTGCCCTGTCTGAGCCCTGCTCTGTTAGGGAATTGCTCAGACTCCAGCCAGAAATGCACATTCCACCTCTGATCCTTTAGAAATATCTCAGTGTGTACACAACTCCAGGGACGATTAGGGCAGTAATTGTGTATTGCTTCATGTGGGAAAGAGCCACTGGCCCTGGGAGGGAAGAAAAGCCTGGATGCAAAGAGCAGTGAGGGGATTCAGAATCCCCTTGGAAAGGAAAGCCCAGCAGCGAGGCACACACAGGCTCAGTAAATCACTGCCTGGACCTGGGAAGGGAAGGATGGGAAGCTGGTGGTGTGGATGCAGAACAGGATGAAGGAAGGTTAACTCCCTGTCTCCCTCCTCTCCATTCGTCTCAGAGCTGTTCAAGAAACAGAACCTTCTATTTTTCTACTTGGCCATAATTGAACCCATTGGGGGTTTGGCTTTCTTTTTCTTTTTTTTCCCCCCAAAGAAAAGTGGTGTTGCTCTCAGATTCATGACATTGTGTGGTTAAATCCAGCTCTCTCTGTAGCACAGCATTAAAAACTGCCGATGCCCTACAGAGCTGTAAGGAACACTGCCAGTTTATAAATCATACTGCTGTCTTCCACACATTCTATATATAACCACAAATAGCTGCTAATATTTATAAAACTGGAAACATGTTTTTGTTGCATTTTAATTTAGCATATCTCGTAGGTTTGATGGCACATTAAATCTAGTCTTTTTATCTGATTTATCGTTGCTTGTCAAGTATTTACCCTGCAGAGACATTGACATAAATTACAAATTTTAAAAATATGCAGAATTAAAAAACTGCTGTGATTGGCAGGTCCACAGATGAAACTTGATGTAACATTTATTTTCTGATTAGTTTAAGTGTAAAATAGATTTTAATACAAGCATATAATTACAAACTGTAAAATACAAATGTAAAACTCCCAGGAACATTTATATTCGCTGAAGGTGGTTTGAGTTTTTTGTTGGTGGTTTTTTGGTTTTTTTAACCACATTTTGGAGCTGAACTGTTAAGTAACACAACTTTTTGAACTGCTCAGCACAGAACTGAGTTGTGTTTTCTCTCCCTGGGAGCTGAGGGCTCTGTGCATGCCCTGGGTGGGGCTCTGTCCTGGCAGCAGGGATTGCACCACCCGGGGCACAGTGGCAGCATCCATCACACAAACCCCATGTTAAGCCATGTCTGAGTGTTCTCAGGAGGATAAAGGTAGGAGGAATGCATATTTAAAATACAGGAAGTTGTAAACTGCAGCTGCAAAGTGTGTTTGCTGTCAGTTTGAAGTGCACAAACGATGTTGCATGGCAAGGGAGGACGTGGGGTGGGGAAGGGTGACAGAGACTTCTTAAAAAAAAATAAAACAGTTAAGCAGTGACATCCTTTTTTCTAGGAAATACTGAAATTGTGTTTACATTAAAACCCTCTCTTGTTTCCTCTGCCCACCTATATTGTTTGCTCAGCATCTCTCCTGCCACCTCTTGGCATCTTCCTATGTGAGGTTCTTCAGCACAATCAGCAAATAGACAAATACACAAGCAGATGATGTCTCTACCTCTTGTGTGATTTAGTTCCTATATTTAGATTTTGTAATGTTTGGAACTCTTTTAGCTTTCAGCTATTTAAAACAGTATCTGAGATTGAAATACTTCAGTTGGAAATCTTTCTACTCCATTGCATATTCCAAACCTGGCCTTTGTGAGCAGAGGGGCTGCAGATGTCCTGCCCTCCTTCAGTGTCCTGTCACTGCTCAGGACACCAGGGCTGGATGGAGATGTCTTGGAATGCTCTGTAACTCCCTTTGTAAAATGAGTTGTGTTCTGTGTGTAGGTGTTAGAAGTGACACAATGTCAGTCTCCAAAGCTATAGAAGAGGCAAGAAATAAAGGGAAAATTCTGTGCCCAGAGGACACAGTTGCCATTTCCATCTTAATTCTTTGAAGAACAGAGATAATCACTTTTTCCTGGCTTATGTTACAGAATACCGTAGCAGATTTTTTTTTCCTAACAAAGAAGAGAGAAAAGTGTGTTTTATGAATTACTTTAAGAAACTCTTTGCAAGGAATAATTTTCTGCAAGTGGCACCAACCTCATTTCCTGGCCCTATTAGTGCAACAGTTGGAATACATGGGGTAGTAATTCCAGATAGCAACATCTATGGGCTTTGTGGAGGACAAGGCAGTCATACCCAAGCTTTGCCACCTGGTCTGTCTCTCAGCTGCCTTTCAAAATGTCAGAGTTTGCACATCATGAACATGTCACTGAAGGAAATCAGGACGTGGAGCTCCCTCCAGGTGTTTTGGAAGTGCCGAGCTCTGCTCCTTTGGACAGTGGCAGTGTCAGGGCAGCATGACTTGTCCTCACGTGGCTCAGGCTGGGGAGGGGCAGGTTCTCTGAGTGCTCCTGGTGCTTATACTGTTGGGACAAGTGACACCCCAACCAGAACCATCCCTGCCTTTCCCGGCCTCCTGTCCTGCTCCTGGGCTGGGATCACAGCAGGATGGAGTGGAGGAGATGCTGTTTGTTGCAGCAGGGGCCTGCTCTGAATGGAGAGATCTGTCTCTGTGTCTTGGGGGATTTCTGAAAAGGACATTGAGACAGTGCTAGTGTGTCCATACTGTGCAGTGTGGGTGACACTGGAGCTGCAGACTTTCATTGATTTTTGCTGACAGTCCTCTCTATTGGAAGCCTGGAGCAGAGGGTAGTGTCCCTAACATGCAGCACCTTTCTTGGCCTTATTTTCAGCAAGAGTAGAGTAAAAACTTCCATAGGGAATGTTATTTCTGGTATCAACTGACATTTGTAGCAGCAAGCCTCCTTTTCCTGTCCATGTGTTACTCACTCTCTGTATCACAGAGTTTGAAATCATTATCTCCTCTCTCTTAGTGGGATTCCCAGCTGTCAGCACATCACCCATCTCGTCTGTCATCCATCTGACAAGAACCACTGTCAATCTCCACGTATAATTTTCTGAAAAGAGAAATTGTAGCTGTGAATAAATTATCAAAATAGTGAATCTACTCAAAAAATGGAATTGCTTTATTTCACTGGACAAGCATCAACATTCCCATACATTCATTTGGGCCTCTCTATCTCTGGGATCTGTCTGTGTGGGAATGAGAGCACCTCCCATTGCCATGTGTTGATTCTCATGAGACCTGTCACTTGCATTGCTTAAAGGAGCACCAGTGGCCAAGTAGTTTAATCTCAAGATGCAAATTTCACTCTAAAAACCCTGAGAAGTTAATAAATAAATAGTTAGAATACTTGATACTTCTGTAATACTGGGTCTCAAGATAATTTACTTGTGCTAGTGATTTAAATCTTGGTCCAACTGGTATGGGGAAGCAGGGAGGAAGCACTGAGAGGGTCTGTGCAAAGGCAGAAATTAACCTGTCCTGCTTTTAACTGTAGCTTTCTCCTTTCAGATATGCCTTCCAATGCTGCTGGTATCTGAGCAGCTCAGTGTGTAACTATTTATTCTACAGTTCCTCCTGCTAGTACAAAAGTACAGCTAGGTTTGCACAAACCTGTCACATGCTGAAGGTGACTTCTGTCTGAAGAGCTTTGTAGAGCAGATCTGTGAATCTACAATAGGACAGAGAAAGTTCCTTGATTTAGCAGCTCAGTGTCTGGATTAGTGAAATCATTGGATTAGCAGCTGTTAGAGTCACTGTAAGTTAATGCTGCAGCAGAACTTGCTCTTCAGCACTCCGCTCTCTGTCAGGCCGTGTAACACGAGCCTAAGAGGCCCAGTCAGTGTGACCTAGAGGTGGTGTTTGGTCAGTTTGGGAGCAGTGCTTGTCTTGCAGGATGTGTGAGCAGCTCAGGTGGGTCAGGCCCCAGCAGTGCTCAGGATCATGCCAGGACACAGAGGATGCAGCACCAAGCACGGCAGCACAGCACAGAGATCTTGCAGTTAATGGCAGAATGGCAAAGTTCTGTGTGGTGAAGAGACTTGCTGAGGTTAATGTGCTGATGTGGGGAGGCAAAAGACAAACCAGAGCACGGGTTAAGGCTGGTTGGAACCGATGACAGGCATTTGGGGGCTCTGAGCGCCCTTTTGGGTGAGCAACATCTGCAATAGGCTGTGTTTGCCCTTAGCTGTGGGAACTGTGGGTTGAAGCAATCCAGCTCCATTCAGAGCACAGGCTCTCTGGCTAAATCCAAACTCATTCTGGTATCTTGTGCAAAATGATGTGATTCAGCAGCACAGGACCTTTAAACAACCAAATAACATATTGAGGCAAAACAAACATAGTGAGAAAGTTAAATATTTCAGGCAATCTAAAAATGTGGATCTTAAATACCATATTATGTATCCAGATAAAATTACCAGCCTTATTTTAGGTTTCTTTAATGTATTCTCGTCTGATTGTGGCTGACTGTAAAGTACTATTGGTCTAAAAAAAATGATTGTGAGTTGACAGTGGTTGCGCCTTTTGCCAGACTGGTTAATATTGTCAGATCCTGAGTCTGTTTTTCAGTGGACAGGTTTTAACTGGACTGTTGTGCTTTGAAACAAGTGAAGCAGAGACCTTGTTTGTCTCTGCTAGAACATGTGCCTCAACCTTCTAAATAAATGAACGTAAAGCAAACACACCTTACACAGCAAAACATATTTGGCTTGAGCTCTCTTAATTTGGCATATTTAACATGAACAATTGCTTCATTTATTTCACAGCATTCCTATTAAACCTGTGCAGATGAAGAACAGAGAGCAGCATCTACAGTAACATGTCCTCAGATTCTCTTTGATGTGCAGTGGTTCTGGCATTTTCCTACAGGTTTGCTCACTAATGCTTGTACCTTTCCATCAACCACTTCTAAGTTTCGTGTTTTCTCTTTTTTGTTGTTGTTGTTGTTTTTTCCCCAAGGAATTAGCTAAGAGGACTCCCTCTAAGCATCCTGATCACCCAGCTGTCCAGAATGCTCTGCAGGCCATGAAGACAGTCTGCACAAATATCAACGAGACCAAGAGACAGATGGAGAAACTGGAAGCCCTCGAACAGTTGCAGTCCCACATTGAAGGATGGGAGGTAGGATGCAGGATCAGCAAGCTCCCTGGAGGCTGGAGTTTAGTGACTCACACTGTATGCAGGGATTTCTGTTCCTTACGTGATGTGTAAATGCTCTTGAAGGCGTGGGCAGCACCACTGAGGAGTTTAGAATTTGGTGTTTATTTTGGGTGTGCAGGCTGCACACAATTTGTAGCAGAACAAATGGATTATGAAAGAAGGGTGTTAGGGCTAGAATGGACTGATGTTTCAAATGGTCAGATCTCCCTTGAAAGGCAAATAGATCTAGAAAATGAAATCAGGACTGGTCTAAATAACAGAAGGTTCTTTTTTCCGTTCCCATTATCCCTTAGTTTTTCTGGGAGCTTTGAAATTTATTTCACTTGGCTTCGTATGGACATTCTGTATAAAAGATAAAGGTTGGAATAGCAAGTATTGGATCGGTCTGTTTGTGTTTGCTCCAGTTCAGTTACTCATGGAGGTGTTTCCAGTGATGTGTTTATCAGTAGGTGGTTCTGTGTAGGTAGAAACATTTTCTACGGACGGGAGGAAAATGAGAGGGAGAAAACAACGAGAATGTGAAACCTGGGGGAAGAGGAGATCTGGAAAATTCAGTAGAAGTAGTGGGAAGTCAGGATGTTGTGCAGAGGATTGGCAGCTTCTCTTGTGATGATTTTGGCTGAGGCCTTGGGTCAGTGGAGCTGGAAGGCTCTGGGAGGTCACCATGGGGAGTCCGTGGTGTTAAACAGCCTCATGGAGAGAGGGGTGTTGGCCTTTAGGGAGGGTGATGTTCAGACTGTCAGGGCTGATCACTGCCAGCTGAGCACATTCTGTTAGGGGTCGTGTAAACTTCCTCATGTTTGGACTCCTGGGTGCTCTCCATGAGTCTCTTTTGGGTTGTTTTTTATTTTTCATGTATGTTTTAAACCTTGCTCGTTTTTTTTTCCCTGAAGGATGTTCTTGGCATCCAGCTAAAGACATGAGAACAACCCAGATATCCAGCTGTGTAATTTTTGGATATCAAGCTCAACAAGCAAAGTTGTACAATGTTCTATGTAGCAAAGACTTCCAGAAGCCAGTGAAACATTTCAGGTTCAGTGCAACCCCTGGGTCATCTAAACAAGAGGCATGTTTGAACTCTACAGCCTGAAACATGACTATGAAAGTATCCATGATGCCATAAATACAGTGATATCCAGACTTAGTAGTTTTTTGTTTGTTTGTTTGATTGTCTTTTTAGGGTTTAATTTATCTACAGAAATATTCTGGGGCTAAAAACCCTTTCAGATTTTTTTCTATAGAAATTTTTGTAACACAGACACACTCCGCTCAAAATTTATAAAAGGAAGTGTTTTTCCCTCCCAGTTAGCTGTGGAACATTTCTAAACTGTTCTAGTGGCATATTGAAAGGAAAACTTACTTTATACATCACAGATAGATGGTGGATATAATAATATAAATACCAGGTGGTATTTTTTTTGTAAATGTAAAGAAATTTGAAAAGAAAATTTGTAAAGAAGTTTGAAACTGATTGACAGTGTCCAGTCTTCATAGTGCAGGGGTCTTACCAATCAGGGCTCTAGAACAAAGGGCTGTGTTTATAAATAACTGGTTTTAGTGCTTTCAGATACGTTTCACGGTTTATTCCTAATGAGAAGGGTTCCTAGTTTCTATTTTGGAAAGCCGCAATTATGAATTAAATAATTTTTTTCGAATAACAATACAGTGCTGTAAGTCACAGAGCTGACTGTAGGAGGAAGTCTATAATGCAAATCACTGCCTATTTTTAGTTTATGTGATGGCAGTCTCTCCTGTGAAACGGAACGTTTCCCTTTTCTGTTAGCACGGATATGGATTCTGAAGCACTGGTGTGTATGGTTATATACCATATAAACTTTGCAACAAGGCCTGCAGCTTCCAGCTTTTTCAGTCCAAGGATCTAAACTGTCAAAAAGAAATGAAGATCAGCTTACTTAGGATCGAGTATTCTACAGATATAAGACACATACCCTGAGTGGGGAGTGTGCCAGCAACCCAGCGAGAAGGTTGGTGTCACCTTGTGCTTGGGAACAGGTCCCACCTTGTCTGGTGTGTCTCTTTAACCAGCAGCTTCACTGGTTTCTGTGCCTTTGCACTTCCTTTCACCTGTTCCAGCAGACCATCCCTGCTCTGCTCATCATCCTGTTGATGTCAGAGCCACCCTCAGTGTTCCCAGCATGGAGAGCAGCATCGTTTCCCTCCTGCAGCGTCTCCTGGTGCTCCAGAGACAGCTGTGACTTCACCAAGAGCAGTGGTTGTTCTTCAGAGCCATTTCCCCAGTTCAACACTTCTTCCCCACGGATCTGTGTCTCTCTTGAGCACAACCATCCTGTCAGTGTCCTGGCATCACCCTGGGAGCTCTTTGTGGGACACTCTGCAATGAGGGCACGTGGCAAAGTGAGCCCAGGCTGGGACGCCACCGAAGGCCTGCAGCTTGGTCAGAGGTGTGCTCATCACAGTGGGCTCAGATGCATCCCTTTGCAGTCCACAGAATCCTTGTAGCTCTGTGTTATGGATTAGCTTCAGCCAGGTCAGTTTGATTCTGGTTAATCCTTCTGGGAAACAAAGATTAGTTTCAAAAAAGGGAAAAGAAAAGTAGAGGATGCGTTAGAAGACCAATTTTTGTGTGCAGTGTTTTTGTTTGCTTAGTAAAAACCAAGTAAATATGCCATTTCTTTTAGATATTAATATTTCTGTGGACAGAGCTCCTCCCTGTAGCAAGTTACTTTTACTGAATAATTGCTACATATC